GTTATGGCATAGATGAGGAAACTTGGAAGCGGTTTGTCGGGAGTAGGACTCGGTCCACAATGGGAGGTATGTTACTATTTAAAAACTTTGGTATGTTTCCATATTGTCTTATTAATTTAGCACATTGTAATATGATATTATGTTGCAGGAGAAGCGAATAAAAGGAAAGGAGATTCGGAGGTTGAATGTGGCCCCCCACCGTCTCGTCTCGTGGGGGTATGATTTGTTGACGCAACGCATGATGAAGGAGAAGGCTAAACTCCGAGAAGCTGAGTTAGCCTCTTCTGGTGTAAGCCAGGAAGAAATTTCCCCACCATCTCCTCCAAAACGTCATCAAAAATGGAAGAGGGCTCGGCAAAAGGCCTCCGGTGAAATGACATCAGAGGAGGCCCGCTTGATTGCTGAGCGGATTGTAAGTCAAATTAGTTTCTTTCAACCTCATTAACCATGCTTTGTCATTCATCAATTTTTTTTTACAATATATAATGCTCAATTGTAGGATTCTTTAGAGGAGCAGTATACACAGGGAACATTCGTTCCCCGTGGTCGTGAAGATATATTAACTACTGCTATTGGACGCCCAGAACACCCAGGGCGTGTTCGTGCTGTTGGAGCTGGTGTGGGTATTCGAGCATATTTTGGAGCTCCATCATCAGACCATACCCACACCACATCATTGAGCCAGCAGGAGATGGCCAGATTGGAGGAGAGTCTAACAACGAAGCTGAGACCAGCGATGGTTGAAGAGCTGACAGCGACGCTGACACCAGCCATTACCGCACGAGTTCAGGAGGAGATGATGCGTGTATTTGGTTCAAGTCTAGCATCCATAGGTGTCACACAGCCTACCCACCCACCTATGGATGTTCCTCCTCCATCTGCCGCACGAGTTAGCACTAAGGGTAGTTGTGCTGAGCCAAATACTGCTGATCAAGAGCTTCCTGCTACTAATCAGGAGGTTGTTGTTGTTGTTGCAGACATCGACCACTCAGGTATGTGTGGATGATATCTTAATGACAAAAATTCATGTGCATATTAAATAATTAATGTCTTATTTTTGTGTAATCGAGTCAAGTGTGAATTTTATGTTGATGAGGATGGATCTCGAACCACGATTGGTGGCGGTTGGTTCAATTGAAGAGGGGGCCTCTACAATTCATAGTGTGCCTTTAGCACCTAACTTGGCCAAAGTGGTCATTGAAGAGGTTCGAGATGCGTATGCTCTTGTACCTGTGCCTACGTACGAGGTGATGACAGTGGGACAGGCCCTCCGGACCTTCATTGCATGGCCTAGACATCTAATCGGGCCTATTTTGAAAAAGGTTTGCATATACTTTCTGTTAATTATCATATGTAGTCTGGTACTATTTTTTATTATTTCTCAAGTCAATGTTATTTTATGTAGGATGTTCGGAAGCCACCCCAGGTTGCCTAAACTGGTTCCTACTTCCCATACTAGTAAAGGTAAGGAAGTAGATGTCCCAGGAAAATCTAATTTTTCAACTACTATCTGTTGTCCCACAGTTGTATATTCAATCTTTTCAAGTGAAGTGGGATGTTAATAAGTTAGGGGTAGACAATAAGAACTTTCCCCTTTACATTGACCACACCGATGCTTGTGGAGATAGCAGTTGGCAATCGATGTCTAAACATAGCAGTGTTACAATTTTGGACAATGTAAGTATTTATTTTTATTTACTAATTATGTTATTTGAAGTTATCGTCATATTTAATGTACATTGAACTGGCTACTTTAGGATGATGAATGAATTGTCGGAGGAACAACGCACCCAAGATGTGTATGGATTTTTTGAGCCCCAATCCATACAAAAATCAGGAAACAAGAGAGAAGAAGTTCAAATATACATCCAAAATTGGATGATGAAGTCAAGGAAGAAAGTTTACTTGGGTGCTTACCACCATCAGTAAGTATTTAAGCGTATGAAATTATTCGCATTAAATTTTATAGTGTATTGTATTATCCTAACTTTTTGTAATGTAAGCAGAAATCATTGGCAGTTGTTGGTTGTTTGCCCAAAGCAGAATGTTGTGGCTTGGTTCTGCTCACTGGGCAAGAAACCTGATGCAGATCTTAAAAACATTGTAAACAAGTACACATTCTTATAATAATTTAAACAATTATTAATTGTTTTGTTACTTAATTGTTTTGTTACTTAATTGTTTCATTATATCTTGTATTGCACAGTGCATTTAAGGTTTGCAATACAATTGATGGAGTACACACAAGCAAAAGCACGACTCCAGATTGAATTTTTGTTAATGTAAGTCATTTTATATTTATGTATTATATCATTCATTTTATATGTCAAATTAATATATTATTTTTTGTAGTGTAATAGGCAACCAGGATCTTATGAGTGTGGATATTATGTTATGCACTTGGATGTGGCTGATTGTTGTTAGCAAGATTGAGGATACATGGAATCAGGTTTGCTTAAATTTAGTATTCAATAAAAGACCCGAGTATTGTGTCATTGGATACTCTGTTAAATTATCTTTTTCTTGTAACAGGTATTTTCAGACGAGGAAGCATTGCCCATAGAGACCATTGACGATATTAGAAACACATGGGCCGATAAGTTTGTTAAAGTTAGAAGTAGGCAAGTTTAGTTATTAATTTAGTAGTTAGTTTAGTAGTTAGTTTAGTAGTTACTTTAGTTACTTTACTAGTTAGTTTATTAGTTAGATTAGTAGTTACTGTATTTGGTAGATAAGTAGTTGGATACACTATAATTTTGGATACAATTTTATTTTTGGATGCACATTCAATTGTTTATATCTTGTACATTGTCTGCCTGAGTTGTATTCAAATTTGCAGGTATGTATATATACAAACATTGGGTACCCTGTATAAACAAAGCGTTCATTTAAAAAAAAAAAATAGACTTTCTACATCGGTTCATACCATAACCGACGTAGTAAACACGTACTCGCTTGAGCGACGATTGTACTCACTTGAGCGACGAAAGCTCAAACAAAGGGGTCTCTCGGGTTCCATCTCGCTTGAGCGACGAGTGTACTCGCTTAAGCGACGAAAGCTTCAAACAAAGGGGACTCTCGGGTTCCATCTCGCTTGAGCGACGAGTGTACTCGCTTAAGCGACGAAAGCTTCAAACAATGGGGACTCTCGGGTTCCATCTCGCTTGAGCGACGAGTGTACTCGCTTAAGCGACGAAAGCTTCAAACAAAGGGGACTCTCGGGTTCCATTTCGCTTGAGCGACGGGTGTACTCGCTTGAGCGACGAGTGTACACTTTCAACGTCGGGTATGAATAACCGACGTTGAAAGCCTAAACTTTCAACGTCGGTTATCTATACCCGACGTTCGCCTGAAACAATATCGGTTGTATAACCGACGTTGAAAGCCTTATATAACCAATGTTGAAAGGCATATCTGTAACAGTGAATGAGTATGAGTTATATTTTCAATAATTCAATAAATGTGCGAAAAAAAACGATCTCTTTTATCTCTTTAAATAATTTGATGTATAGTAGAAATTAAAAGGTAAAATGTTTTTTTTTTATGAATATTAAATAGAACTAGGATGGTGAATTAACTGAAGAAGCCAATTAGCATTTGACTTTTTCTTTTTTGAGGTCGTGACAAGACTTTTTCTTAGAGAATAAGCAGTGAAAAAAAAAACTATTGGAGAATTTGTATCCTCAACTGTCTCTTTCTGTAAAATGTGTCTCTACAAGCTCCATGTATAACCAATATCCTAAAAATCTATCACGTCATTCATGAAATAAAATTATTCAAATATTAAAAAGAGTATACTTTTTTTTTTATATATTTTGTGGTAACAAGTTTAAGTGAGGAAATCCATTAAACTTTTTTTTCAAAATAAAAATAAAAAATGCAATAATGCAGCTTCTTTTAATTGCGTTGCCTTGCATGTAGCTTTCGTGCACAGCTTTTTCATTATTTTGAAAGGGGTTTCTATCTTTTGTATAACGTGCGTTTTCCTAAGTCCAATATAAATTCATTTTAATCTGACTATAATACAAAAAAAATTGTAAAATGTAATTTATAGAAAATAAAAATTAAAAGAACTTAATTATTTTTAATCAGAATAAAAATTTCGATACGTAAATTACTGAAGTAAAAATTAAAAAATTATGAAAATGGATATACTGTGGTTTTTTTTTAAGACAAATTCATTTTGCAAAAAACCGTATTTGTGAATATGATTTTCATTTTGTTTTTTCAAGATTATAATAAAATTATCATTAAAAATATGACTTCAATTTTAGTACTATTGTAATAAAATTGAAATATTACTTCTTCATATCATTTCAGTTTTATAATAATAATAATAATAATAATAATAATAATAATAATAATAATATTTCTAATATTAATAATTAATAATGTTAATCATAATAGAATATGATAATAATAAAAAATAACTACAAAAAATATTAATAACATTTTTATTACTTAGTATTATTAATGAATTTGTATAATAAAACTGAATTTGTAAATACAATTTCTGTTAAATTGAAATCGTACATTTTTTTTCATATGATTTTAGTTTTGTTTTCAAAAAATTCAAAATTAAATTTCCCTCTAAATTCAATTCACCCAATTTTTATAGTTTCTCTAAAAAAAACATTCCAATGATTTGAAAACGAAATATCACAATTTTGATTAAAAGAAATCAAACGGTGGTAGGGAAAGAAAGAAAAATTGAGTGAGATGTGATACCATATAATAAGTTTGTACAACATTATTGTTTCCCTCTCTATCTCATAATATAGTAAATCTCAAAATTCTCTCTCTTTTCTTTCTTTCTGTCTCCTAGTTAGATAAATTGTTGTACAAAATATTATTATACGAGTAACATTTCTCGTAGATTAATCTGTGCAGAAAGTCGTGCTACCTAATTCATGTTTGATTCTTGATTTTTATAACAACGAATTAGCTGAAGTAATACAGCACTGGTTATTTGCATCATCATGTATGTAATGTAGTAACTGTTAGAACATGGATTTTAGGTGATCTCTGAAAACCTTCAACATTCCTTGGAAAGTGACAATGCCCGTCAAGGTTCCATCTTCTTCCACAACCCACACGTAACTCACACGATGCGCCAGAGCCTGAATCATCACCGCCACCAGAGAGCTCCACCGGTAGCACACGATTGCCTCAGACCTTCTCCCCACCCTCCCAGAGTGCCCTCCAAGCTTCCAATTCTTCCCGGAGGATTCTTCATCGGAGGAACAACTAGAAGAAAATGAAGACCATGAACAAAGACCCGTTTCGTCGTGGAGAAGCTCCGTCAGGTTATGCTCCTGAACCCTCTCTTTTACCAACTGCACCAAGTCCTCCGGCGGGCCACCGCAGTCGATGTAGGAGGTGAAGTCGCCGGCGGAGAGCGTTACCATGGCAGGCACGACGGTCTCGTCGCAGGAGTTGAGCATATAGGGTGAGATTTCGCCGACGAATTTGCCGTTGGGGTCGACAATGGCGACGGAGCTTTGGTATACGAGGGACAGGGCCAAGAGGTCCAAAGTAGTGGATGCAGGGTCATCGTAGCACACAGCAAAGAGGTTTTGCGTGTCGATGATGCCTAGGGTGTTGATGGGGTTCGCCGGTGTTGGGGAAAACACACCAATTGAGTTGAGGAGGTATCGAAACACGTCCTCTTGTGTGAGCCAACAATATGTGGCGTTGTTATTGTGGTGCAAAGTGTTGGCGTCATAACATTCCAACTGGTTTTTTATTGGTATCACCAGGTTTTGCACCCCTTCGTGCATAACTTCTATAGCCTCCAATAAACTGCAAACAAACCAAACACATCACACTTTTAGATCATTATTTCATATTATTCTCTATCCACAATCTCAATCAAAATTTACATTATTCAACGTGCTTTCGAATTTTTCAATTTACAACAAGCAACGTTCCCGAATGATTTCACAAATTTCCCCTCTTCTATGCTCCATTCAGCACTCAATATGTACAAAACTCTAGTTACGAATATCATCCAATTCTGATTGAAAAAGAAGCATATAAAAAATTGGAAATTAAGTTTCAGTAAACAAATATTTTATCACAGAAGTTCCTTTCTAATTTGATGATTAAGTTTTATAGGTTGTCATGCGCGTTTGAATTATCCTTGGATTTTTTAAAGTTGAATGTCATATTGTTGTACGCCACAGCTGCAATGGAATTTTGGAATGGAAAGTCAAAGGTCAAAGAGGAAATCCCGTAAATATATACAACTAATTATTAATTAAATAAAGCGTTGATAGATAGTTTTTGTTGAATTTTGAAAAGCGAAGGAAAATAAAAAGGTGAATTAACAGGGCCACATAAATACGCGGTTGCAGCGAACAGAAATTGGAGAAGAAGGAAAGAGAGAGGAAGCGTACCTGGCAGTGGGTGGAAGGTGGCGGACGAGGACGGGGGAGGTATGGTGGACGAGAACGGAGATAGGGGAATGAAGGGCGGCAGAAGGGGAGGAGAGGTTTTCGGGTTTGGAGAGGAAGCATATGATGTCGACCATGCAGACCTTCCCGATGCAGGTGCAGATGCTGCATTTGGTAATACTGGTGTGGTGCTGCGGTTGTTGCTGCCGAATGAAGGAGTGGTGGCAGTCCCAGACGGTGACGTAGCTGTCATCGATCTTTTTGAGGGCGGCAAGGGCGCCGGCTACCGTGTCGGAGACGGAGAGGGACCTGAGGGGCGGTTTCCCGAGACAGAGATCGGATAATTCATGCCTTGACAATCTAGCTGCCATACACAGTCCAACGATAATTGATTCAGATGAAGAGAGAGGAAGAGAGGGAAGGAAAGAGAGTGAGAGAGAGAGAGAGAGAGGGAGGTGGTTCTTTCTTTCTGGCCGAAAATGAGGAGGAGCCTCTTGTGTTATTTATAGGGAGCAGGGAGTTATTACCGGAATAGCCGGTAAAGCACGCACCGATACTGCGTGTATGTAGGGTTGGACATGTGAAGAATATCTTTTGATGAAAAAAAAAACAAAAAAAAAGGTAAAATCCACTCTAAAATATTTTTACCAAAAATGTTAATAAATGTGCGAAAGCATGTTATTGAAAGTTAAATTAAAAAAAAAACACAAGAATATAGTGCATATTTAATTGTAAAATAATGCATAACGTAGTTTTTTTTTTTTTTAATGCACACTTTATAATAGCAATAATATAAATAGGAGTAAAGATGGTAAAATATGATTTTATTTTCTCTCCATCAAACCTTATTTATTATTGGTTTTGGACCTATATTTTCTAAAATATCTTATTAAACTATATATTTAAGTTTTATATTTAGTATTATATATCTAATTTACTAAGTCGGTTATCTAATGAGTTAGGATCTCAGCACTACATAGCTCATTAACCTTAAGGGTTAAACGTTGAGGCTTATATATTTTATTATTATAAAATCTCGTATTTGATCCGTTTATATAGGTCAGAAATGTAGATATTACACCATATTAATCTCGAGTGTTTAAATGTTTAGGTTTTATGACTCATATACGTTAGATAATATGACAATATATGCTCGACTAAGTAACAAATAATTAGTTAACTCCCGACCTCTTATGAGCTACTATAGAGTATTTTGGGATCTTGAGATCGTTTATTAATCGACCTCTCTAAATCAACTTCTGGATCGACGTTGTAGAGTTTTTGACTATAAATGATTGTTTGTTGTTGTAGTTTTTTTATCATTGATTGTTTCATAGAGTTTCTTATCCCAAAATAATCGTTTATCGTTGTTGATTTTTCTAACCTAAAATATGATCAATTGTCATTGGTGAATTTTCGATCTCAAAATGATCTGTTGTCGACTTTTGTAAAATGAACGGTGAAACAACAAGAAAACGTGACTTTGTAGAAAGCACAGAATGTAGAATTAAGCAATGGTAAACAAAAAATAGGCAGAACCAAGTTGGCAGTACAAATTGTTTTGTAATGATGATAGCAAAACCCCATCCAACAGGCACAGCCAACAAGATCACTCATGGGCTTCAACTAAAATTAAGAGAAGAACTCAAATCAAACCCACACTTAATCTAATGCATAATTAAGCTATGGAGATCATATAAAAAAGTGATGTAAGATGCGTAAGAAGCATATGATTTGTTTTGATAGTTGAAGTGAGGCACGTTCCTTTAATGGTTAGTGGGTTTGTTCGAAGAAACTATGAATGGTAGAGTTTTTTTTTTTTTTAATGAAGTTCATAATTTCTTTAAAATTTGTACTTTATATTAATATTTATAATTTTAATCTTAAATTTAATAATTATTTTAAAAAAATAATTTTTATTAATATTTATAATTTTATATTGCTTAAATTTAATGATTGTTAAATAAATTTACTTATATATTTATAAATTTGATTTTTTATTTTTTTATATTTATTTATTAGTTTTTCATAGTCATTTATTAGTTAATAGTAGGAAATGAAAGTGTGTATGTATTATTTGTGACGGTTTAGTAGACGTAGGGCTGTGTGGTTGGTTTCGTGGGTGTGGTAGTTTTGGAGATTGAGGAGGAGGAGGAGAAGATGGAAATTGACGCACGTGTTGTGAGAAATAGCACACGGTTTGGAATGAAGAGGTGGGACTAGACAATATCTGCACAAACCATTCAGCGTTCGTATGGCTCCAATATGGCCGCGCCTCCTTTTCCTGCCTTCTCATTCTATATATATTATATTTACTCTTGAAAATGGAATCTCAACTTATTTCTTTATAACAATAATATTTAATATTTTTTCTTGTATTGTACTTTAAAAGAAAATTATATATATATATATATATATATATATTTTTAATGACTTTTTTTTCTTAAAAAATGAAATTATTTTTATATAAAATAAAATAAATTATAATTTTATAAAGATAAATATTAAATAGTTTGAGTTGATTTTGATATTATTTTAAAAATGGTAAAATATCTAACTTAATCTTATAAAATTTATTTAATAAGGTGAAAATTATACTTACTTAAATACTATAATATTATCGTATTTTTAATTCGATTTGTAATTTCATAAATTAACACTAAAATTTTAAACTTTTAAATTTCATTAGATTAATTATCTTGTTAGTGTTTATATACGAAACTTGTAAAAGATAATTATGAAAAAAAATATTAATAATATTTTTATGTGATATGATGAAGTTAATCTTATTGTCTAGATTTTATCAAAATTTACAATTAAAGTAATGGAATAATAGGACTTGACCTCGATTGAATCTTAAAGAAAATTACTTGATTTTGTTTTAAATCTTTATTTTTTTAAATCAAAAGCTAAAAAATAGGAGAATTTTTGTGATTTTAGAAATTGAAAATAGTAACTTATTTTATGAAAGTAATTAAATTAAATATAAAAAAATAATTGAAAGCATTGAAGAAAAATAGTAATTAAAAGTACTGTAAATCTAATCTAAGTAAGCTTTAAATGCTAAAGAATTTTGAAAATTAAGTTTAGAAGTAATAACATAATTAAAGTAAAAGGTTTTAAAAAAATAATAAAGAAATTGTGTTGATACTTTAATCATAAACTTGTTTTTATAATTATTATTGATTTCTATGGAATTGTTTTACAATCACAATAACATCTCCACAATAATTTCAATCAATTATAATTCAAATTCATAACTCAATTCATAAATCAAACAATCACTTAAACTTAGAAGTTGAATTGTGATGTAAAAGAGATATTCAATCAAATAACTTTATTCACAGTCTTTGTAATGAATTATAATCGGTTCGAATTATTAAGAATCAAATTTAAATAATAAAAAATTAGTTTTAATCGGTGAATCAACAACAAAAATGAATTAAAACATTATGATTAATTAAAAAATGCACAAACATTAAATGAATGGATGGAAAATGAAAAAGAAGATGAAACAAAAAGTAAAAACAAAGAATTAAGAGAAAATGAAACAAATATGATAAATAAGAACTTAAATTGATAAACTTCATCTCATAATTAAAACTCAAATGAATAAAACTTAGAAGTTAAGCATATGAAAACTAAGAACTTTAAAACTAAACTAGAGAAAATCGATTGAATGTATTATGATTGAAACTTAACTTATATGTTTTTATATAGTTGAAGGTTTATTTATATAACAAAAAATATATACAAAATATTATAGACCGATAAATAAAATATAAACTAAATATAACTTTTTTTAAAAATTGATATTCGACTCATCTACTAAACGATTTTCCTTCCACTCAACAAAATTGCAGTTAAATTAGTTACATGTGCTTTTGGGATAAATTCCACTCAACAAATTTAAAAGCATTAAGCGGATTAGTTTTCAAAAGAAGTGTTATTGGGTTCAGTTCCATTCAACAATTTTGTTTTTTGAAAGCGATAAACAAATTTTATGTGCTTAGCAGATGAAATATAAATTTTTATAATATTTTCTTTAATTTTATCAATCCTGAAAAAGAATAAATAATTAGTAAAAGATATAATTTAAATAATAAATAGTATTAAAATATTTGTAGTTTATTTTACAAAACTATATTAATTATTAATAATTCATTAACAAACTATACTTATACGAATAAAAAATAAACTATACTTATACGAATAAAAATATTGATAAATGTATGTATATGGGAATGCCTATATTAGTGAGGTAAAAGAATATATCACTGCCGTGATTACATATTTCACGAATTGGCTTCCTATATAATAAGACATAATATATTTATTTTCTTTCAATTGACAGATTTTACACATTAAATTGATGTGTAACAACATAATAAACAAATTGATGTGTAACAAAATAATAAGGTTCTTAGTTAGAGTAAGAACCAATATTTTTAAGATCAGATTGGTTATTGAACCAGTAAAAATATAAATTTAGATTTAAAGGTTTAACCGATCTAATTAAATATAATTAAATAATATTTTTATAATATAATAAATTTGTTAATATTTTTTATAAAAAATAAAAAAATAAATATTATTATCATGATAATTATAAATTATAATAAAAATTATAAATATAAAATATATTAAAAAATAATAAATAAATAATTGTTAAAATTAAATAAAAATATAATAAAATAATTATTATTTAAAATTGATATAACTAATATAAAATATAAAAAATTAAAGTATATTTTTTTATAAAAAATTATATTAAAAAAATTTGATCAAATTTTTTTCTCTTTTTATCAAAGTCAGTTCTACTAACCAATTTTTTTTTAATTTTTTATACTAATTTAACTAAAATTCGATTATATAAAAATAATAGATCATTCAGGTTCAACTAATTAAACTGAATTGAATCGTTGGATTTGATTTTCAATACAGTGACAAAAACATTTAAAAAAATAGTAATGTTTTTTTGAAAATAATATTCATGATATTTATTTTTAACTTTATTTAGATTGTATATAATATAAATTGTAAATACTGTGTTTGTTAAACTGTATTTATTTGTGTATATTTTTTTTAATTCAACACTTGATAATATATCTTATAATGTTCAAATTTCAACCTAACATGTTTTTTTTTAATGAAGGGTTTAAGAGTTTATGGTTTAACATTAAGAATTTTTTTGTTATAATTAAGTTATTTAATTTATAAAAAAATTAACCATTGTATGTTAAAACTTTAATTTTGATAATTTAAATCCTCAACCCTTTTCATATTATTTTTATTTAGCTTTTTGAAATTATATTATTCTAAAATAAATAAATAAATAAATTTTGCACTGTTTTTTTTTTTCTTAAATTGA